AGCGCCGGAAGAACTTCGGTTATTCGTCAAAGCATCGAATAGACCGAAAATCGAAGGAGCCAAGAGTTGAAGCTAACTGCAGGTCCTTTACGCCGACTGAAGGCTGGATCAATCACATCCAAAGTGTTCCAGCCTCTTCTATAAAAGAAACAAGGCCGGAACGCTTTGGAGGGGGTATCTGTAGACATCGAAAATTGCCTAATAGGTCTCCACGAACAGTTCAGTGTTAAAGAGCGACGATGAACGTTACTATCTGGTTCACAGGAGTTTGACTGACGATTGAAGTAAACCGACGAACTACATGAGCTGACAGAATTTTGGGATAACGAAGGCGGCTAATCGAGAGCCCCGCGATGTTACAAAAAGAACAACGCCCTTCGTGTCTCATCCATTCTACAGATAATCCAACCAGTGGAGCTGATAAAACTCTTCGTCAGACTTCCAACGTACTTTGAATCACTAAAATCCGAGTTCGGACGAAGAATTTACAGCGAAAGCGGACGAATGCACCTCAACGGAATGTATCGGAAATTTCGAGACACCCCAGGGGTGTCTCGGAAATTCCGAGACACCCCAAGGGTGTCTCGGAAATTCCGAGACACCCTAGGGGTGTCTCGGGTTTTCCGAGACACCCCAGGGGTGTCTCGGATTTTCTGAGACACCCCAGGGGTGTCTCAGCTTTGCCTAGACACCCCAGGGGTGTCCCAACGCCCTAGGTGCCCCCTATGCCTATAAATAGGAACCTTAGGGACTCATTTTGGGGGATCTGGATTTTTGGATAGTTGGCGAAGCCCTGCTGCAGTGAAGAGTGGTCGAGCGCTTCAACACAAGAGAGGTCTTCATCACCCGTGTCCGTTCCTTAGCATTACCCTTTGCCGGTAATCCTAAGAAGAGCAAATATCTCGCTTTAGCCGAGATAGGCGCTTCAAGCTTCTAGATCTCCTCGCGGATCGACGAAGCTCTGCCCGATTTTTCTGGATCAGATCTGATTTCCAGGTAGTCCACGGATATCGACGTCCCCGTCACAGGCCAAAGACCCACGCAAGCAAGAGACGATAAACGGATCTTGTGTTTATTTTCAAGAAAGTTGTAATTTTTATTTTCGTTATTTGAATTCATTTGTAACGTTTGAAGTTTCTAATGAAATCAATGATGAAGGCAACTTTTCTCGAAAACAGGATCTGGGTGCAGCGAAGCAGATTCTAGGGATGCGAATCAGTAGGGATGAAGCTGAAGGGACATTGAGATTGAGCCAAGTTGAATACATTGAGAAGGTACTTCAGAGGTTTAACATGCAGAATGCTAAAGTTGTTAGCACACCCCTTGGAAGTCAGTTCAAGCTATCTGAGGAGCAATCGCCTAAGACAGATGCAGATAGAGAGCATATGAGCAGGGTGCCATATTCTTCGGCCATTGGGAGTCTCATGTACGCGATGGTTTGCACGAGGCCGGACATCGCCCATGCAGTGGGAATTATGAGCAGATTTGCAAGCAATCCAGGAAAGTAGCATTGGGAGGCCGTGAAGTGGATAATGCGGTACTTGAGGGGGACAACGAACAAGCCACTATATTTTAGGAGGAAGGAGTTGGTGCTGCAAGGATACGTGGATGCGAACTTCGCCGGTGATCATGATACGAGGCGAAGCACCACGGGGTATGTTTCTACCTTAGCGTCGATAGCAGTGAGCTGGGTCTCACGTCTGCAAAAGATTGTGACTTTGTCTACAACCGAGGCTGAGTATGTCGCGGTGACTGAAGCAAGAAAGGAGATGATCTGGTTAAACGTGTACTTGGAAGAGTTGGATCTGAAGCAAGGGAGAGGAGTTCTTTATTGTGATAGCCAGAACGCTATACATCTTGCCAAGAATCCAGTATATCATGCCAGAACGAAGCATATCGACGTCAAATAGCATTTTATACGCTCGCTAGTTGAGGACGGAAAGTTGCATTTAATGAAGATTTTGGGGAGTCAAAATCCGAACTCTCTAGTGGGCTAAATATCCTACATGTTTAAGTATCTAAGATTGAAAGTTTAGCAAACATTCATGAAGAATAGAAAACCTACTTTCTGTTATATGGATTATATACTTCACAGGTGAGGATGTAGCGACAATGAGTAAAAGTTGAAGATATAATCACTGTACATGTGTATTAATGGACATAATATACACCTATTAAGGATAAATTAGGTGAGGGCTGAATATAGCTTGGTGGATAATACTGTTAGTCTAAGGTGTAGACCCAAAGTCCGGACGAAGGCTGGAATCAAAAAGACAGAAAAACAAGCAAAAAGATCCACGATCGACCGCGAACATGCACAGGAACTGGGAGAAGCTGAAGCTGATGGCGGTCGACCGCGCCAACCCTGTAGGATTTTCTGGTCTCGGGTTTTGATCGCGGTCGACCACCGCGGTCGACCGCCAAACTCTCTGGAACTTGTGCGGTCGACCGCGACGCAGTCAAACAGATTCCTATTCTGTTTAGGAATCTGTTTCACCCAGGATTCTATATATACCCCAAACGTTTTTAGGGTTTGTACAACATCAAAGAGAGAGCTTTTTGACTGCAAAGAAAGAGAGAATCTCAGAGAGATTAATCTCTTGTATTTTCTTCTTCAATTAATAAAGAGATTGTGTGGTGTGGCTCCTGAGGACGTAGGCACGTTGCCGAAGCTCGTTAAATCTGTGTGTTCGTCTCTTTTACTGTTTTTGCAAGGTTAGATCTTTATTTGTGGTATTATTCCTACTTTCCTACTTTCAACACAAGGTCCGGAAGGGCAAGGGTTCGATTGACTGTTTCGAATCCCCAACAAATACTATGTGTTAGCTGCTTGGTTTAGCGATGAGATCCCTATGCAGTTCTAAGGTCAGAGGCAGCTTTTTGGATCAAAGAGAAATAAGTTTTCTTGAATATATCAAAGATGTACTGATGTTTGAAATGATGCTATTAACCATCAGTGAGATAATTCCATAAAATTTCATACTGTTTCTTATATGTTTCTGTTTTCTGCTTGCTTAAGCTGAGCAGAGTTCCTCAACATGTTTATAGAAGAATATAAAGAATTATTCATCTTTCGATTTCAGGGCATGGTTGATTTCATGGGTCGTATTATGGGTGGATCAGTTACGTTTAATCCATCCCAAATCATATTAACAGGTGGTGCAAGTGCTGCAATTGAGGCTCTCGGTTTTTGTCTTGCAGACCCGGGGAATGCCTTCCTTGTTCCTTCGCCATATTATCCTGGGTAATTTCTTTATTTCCTATTGGAAAATTCATTGTTATTGCCACTGGGTCGTGCATCTAATATTTTTTGTAGTCAGGTTTGACATGGATATAAAGTTGAGAACCGGCGTTGAGCTAATACCTGTACCTTGCTGAAGCACAGACCACTTCAGCTGGAGTGCTGCTGCTCTTGAAAGAGCGTACAAACTGGCAAAGAAACAGGGAGTAAAAGTCCCGGCAATTCTTATCACAAACCCTTCAAATCCTGTGGGAAACATACTGAATGCTCCTAGATTTTGCGACAGAGAAGAGCATTCATGTCATTGTTGATGAAATATCTGCTGGCTCAACCTATGGAATCGAGCAGTTTGTTAGCATGGCACAAGTTCTTGAAACACAAGATTACGACAAGCTAGAGTAGAGTTCATATAGTATATGGGTTGTCAAAAGATCTTTCTATTCCAGGGTTTAGAGTGGGAGCCATCTATTCTTACAATGAAAATGTTCTAGCGGCAGCTTCAAAGTTCGCAAAATTCTATTCTATTTCAGTTCCTACACAACAGTTGCTTGTTTCTATGCTGACAGATACAAAGTTCATCACAGAATATATTGAGGTTAACAGAGAGAGGATACTGAAGATTTACACATCATTTGTTGATGGGCTGAAGCAGTTGGGTGTTGACTGTGTTAATAGCAGCGGAGGTTTTTACTGTTGGGCAGACATGTGTAAGTTTATTTGGCCATATAGTGAGAAAGGGGAGCTTGAGCTTTGGGATAAGTTACTGAATGTGGCTAAGATCAATGTAACACCAGGATCGTCGTGTCACTGCATCGAACCTGGATGGTTTCGGTGTTGTTTTGCTACATTGGCTGAGAGTGATATCCCGGTGGTCATGGAACGCATTAAGACAGTCATTGAAGGATGATAGTAAGTTGTCAATGATGACATGTTGTAATCTCATTAACCAATTAAAGGGAGATATTCGCAATGATTGTTCTGGGCATTGCCAGTCTAACATAGCGCCACTTTTAACATTTTTGATACAAAGTACAAACTTCTTCGAGGACAAAGCTTAAGTTCGAAGAAAAGGAAAAGACAGAAGGACTTCGGTGAAGCTCCTGCTGTGACGCTTGTCTCACTGCATTAGATGCTGATGATGGATACATCTTTTGGATGACCATTGGCCCTCACTAGAAAACACGAGAGTAAAGACTCCCTGATGGACTCCTGCAATATACTCATTGAGTTAGAAGCACTGCTCTTAATTGGAAAGAAAAACATATTTCTGCCAGTATGAACTCTAAACTCTAATTGAAAAGCAAATTGTTTAACTACTGCTTCGATTATTTTTCTTTTTTATGAAACTTGAGAATCAATTTAATGTATGGAAATCTGGTACCTAAGCAATTGCTTATTCAACGGGCCTATTGTTCCGGTCTTGTATTCTTAGACACTTCTATTGCCAGACAGTTCAACTCTGAAGCAAATCTTGTTCTGTAAGAAAGACACATAAATTGTAGCATAATTTAAAGCAGTATTTAGTGTTTCAAATCCAACTTTTGATCATTAGCTGTCTGGCTTTCCAATCCATATACTAACTTTGCAGCTAAGCGGTACATGCAGTTCATGAAAACATGCTGTAATGACCAATGCGAGAGACGGACCAAAGTAACATCAGCTGATATAGATTTTACCATCGAGAATCCTTTTTTCTTCATCACGACAGGCTTCATTCTGTAGCTCAATCTGCGGCTCAACAGCATGAGCTCACCAAGCGTCAGCGTCCTTTTCGCCATGATGCCACAGTCTTCTCTCCAACATATATTCGCCCACAAACCTTATCGAGAAAACCTGCACTAGGAGGAGACAAAGGAAAAAGAGAGCCTAAACCTGCATCAGCCGGCGGCAATGGCAAAGGGTAAAGGCGCTCCATAGCCAAAGCATCAATGCTCGCATTTCTTGTCACCGAGCCACTTGAACTTCCACGGCCATCGGTTTCTGAAAGCGAGTGCCAATCCTCAAAGTAACTTGAACATACATCGCTCAAGCTTTCATCAGACTGTTGGTACTCGATTTCATGTAGGAAAGAACTTGAAGGATTTGAAAGTTGCGGAAGTGGTTTTCCCGGTTTTTCTTCCCACAGAAAAGGAACTGAGACGATGAGCTTTGTTGGTGATGGAGGTGGTATGATCCACTGCGTTGGCTTTGTTAGTATCCACTCTTTCTTTGGTGTCCCCGGTTTCTCTTCCCAGAGAAAGGGGATTGAGATTGTTTGTTTTTCTCTCTGTAGGGGAGAAAATACTACGATTGCATTTTCTTCAGCCATTTTTGTTGAGGTTTGATGCTATCGCTGTGTTTGATTTTATAGTGGTGGAGGAATTAGTGCGTTAGGATTAGCTGCTTCTTGATTAAGATGTGATGTGGTTCAACTGCTCTTGATGTGGGTTTGGCCTGAACCACAACGTGAAGGTCAACCTTGTATTGATGAATCAAGAAATTTTGGGGAAAATCTAAATTTCACATAAACAAATGACAGTGACGACAGCGAGGCAAAGATGGAGAATTGGGGGGAAAAAGACCAAACGGAAGTCTTCAAGCTGTTCTGGTGCAAAAGCAATTGAAGAGCGAAGCTGAGTCGATGCATGGCTGCCTAAAAAGTAGGCAGACGTTATTTAGGCTCTGTTTGGCAAAACTAGCTGAAAGCTACGAGATTATAGCTGAAAGCTGTTAAGCTAGCTGAAAGCTGTGAAATTATAGCTGAAAACTGTTAGCTGTGTAGCTACCTGATTGACTAGAGCTGTTTGGCAAAAGTAACTGTACAACTAGCTTAAATTTGTTAAATGACTAAAAAAGACATGCAATATTATTGATATAAAATTAGAATTATTAGGGGTAAAAACGGAAGAAAAAAATTGGCAGCTCATTCCCAAAGACAAACGCTACTTGAGATAGCTTTCCAAAAGCTACTTGCAAAAGACACAATCTTCAAAATAATCTCCTCTTATTTTTGGTCACCAAACAGCTCTACTAGCTTATTGACCAAGTCAATAAGACACAAGCTCTTAGATAAGACACTTTTTTTTGTTGCCAAACAGTGCCTTAGTCCAATAATCTAATAAGTTGCCTTCAAATCCTTCAGCCAGTAATATGTTAAGTAGATTTGACGGTGAGATGCAAGATGTGAGGCTTGCAATCGTGGTGAAGTTTGACGAGGCTACTGTTTGGTATCAAGTCAACTGCGATGTGGATGACCATCACTAAGCCCGCCGGGAAATTCTACTAAATAGTAAATAGATGTTTGGTTCGCTGCAACTATACCAATTATAATTGCAGTTAGGCTGAATTGCACTTAAATGCCATAGTGTTGTAAATGAATGCCCCACACTAATAAAGAAGGGGAAAAAAAGATGGTGTTAATTTTTCTCTGCTTATCCAAAAATATCACATAATAAAGGGTACTAAACTAAAATTTTAGAAACTTTAGGGTATTTAAGTGAGGTTATTTACAAACCAATAGTTCATGTGTAATATTGGGTAAATTAACAAGAGGGCACTAGCGTGCAATATTTTAAATTTTTGGAGCATTTATCTGCAATATTTAAATACATTGAGACATTTAAATGCACAGATTTAAAATAGAGATCATTAAAGTGCAAAGTTGATGGAACTATAGGGCATTTAGCACAAGTATCTCAGTTTGCATTAAAACAAAATAGAAAGTAGAAGAGTCTCTTATTAAGATGTATTATTTAATATTATTTTCCAAGGAATATTAGACCTGCCTTAACGAAACTTTGTATAGATTAAATAGAAAAAATAGATTATAAAAATATTTTACCGATTTATTAAGTTTGGCATACCATCAAATAAAGAATAAATTTATTTTCTAAAACACATATACTACGGTAAAAATACCAATATATTTTATTTACCCTTAGTGACAGCTTAGTATATATATTTTTTCTGGCGACATATTGGTATATTATTTTTTCTCCGACGACAAATGGGCCTCAAATTTGGCTGGACTCAAGTTTCTGACGAAATTTCTCACGTGACGCCTCACGTGGTGCGAACGTGGCTGCCTGCGTGGCTTCCAACGTCATAAATTAGCTTTGATCCCAAACCTTAACTTCTCAATCTCCTTCCTCCTCCTCCTCCTCCACCTCTCCCTCTCCTCCCTCCTCCCTCCTCCCTCCTCCCTCCTCGGTCCTTCGCTCCTCTCGCCTCTCTGACGCCTCTTATGCTAGACCCTAGGCGGGGTGATTAGGGTATTATGCTATCCGATTTTATGCCAATTAAAACTAATTAACAAATATATCCTAGCAAGTATGATATGCTACAAGATATGTGCAAGGATATACAATATAAACAAGGGTAAACAAAATGATCATGCAACAATGGCGATATAACAATATGTAAGAATAAATACGCCAATGCCAAACTCAAACACAAGGAAATGATCACGGAGTTCGGACCTTCCGTCCTACGTCTCCGCTCCCCGCTCCCGGGTAGAATCCACTACACAACCCGGTTTGGAAGCTGGAACTTCTCTACACACTCGGTTTTCTAGCTAACCGAAAACTCTACACACTCGGTTATCAAGTCAACCGATAACTCTCATAAATCCTCACAAAGTACATACACAAGCTATAACCTCAAGTGTTGGTCCTCACGTATCGACTCCCTCAAGTGCTCGGAATTATCACCTCTCACTAGGCCACCGACGTCACTCCTCTCTGTATCGACTCCGTCCTCACCACACACTCCTCTCGGTGTACAAGTGTATTACAAAGTGAACTTCACAATTAGGCACATAACAAATGATTGTTCTCTAAACAAGGTGAGAACTCAATTAGGCACAACTCAATGTTACTATCTCTCATAACCCTAAATATATTATGAATGCAAATACAATAAGCTCAAGTGGGTGTGTGTAACAATGAGATTAATCAAATCTAAACTCAATATAAAACTAGCTTTAATAAGATGATAATCAAACAAATAAATATAAAGCTAGAAAAGAGTTTAGAAAACTTCTCAATAGATGACAAGAGATGGAGGGAGAATAGTTGAATGTTCAAACTCCAATAGATAATCTCCTCAATCTCTTGTGGAATTGAATTCACAAACTCAAACCCTCAATTGCTTAAAAGCTTCTAAACAAATATTAAACAAACTTAAACCCTTATTTTAAAACTCTTTTAAACTTGTTTAAAACATTTCATTAGTAAGTATGAAAGATGAGAGCAAGGGGGTATTTATAGGAACCCAAAACATCAGCAAAAACCCAAGCAAAAAGACCAAATAGCCCTCAGAAACCACAGCTGGAAAAATCAGAAAACTAGCCATTATTGTACAGAGCCACTAGCGGTCGACCGCGGCTAAAAACTAGCCGTTGGGCTTGCAAACAGGAAAAATCACGGTCGACCACAGAGGTAGGCCCGGTTGACCACAAACAGCTAAAAATCAAAGCTTGCTCTCTGAAAAAATGGCGGTCGACCGCAGAGCCAAGGGTGGTCGACCACGATTTGATAAAAATCAAAACGCGGTCTTTGGATAAAGCGTGGTTGACCGTAGAGGCACGCGTGGTCGACCATGCACTGATATTTGATGTGCACAGTTTTGAAAACAGATTTCTGATTTTAAAACTCTGTTTAAAAATATCAAACAAATCCCAAAAATTATGAAACTTTAGGAAATGATTGTAGACATGATAATACACATGCTACAAAAACTGGTTTTTAAAAAAGACCTCCCAAATATAAAATATCATTATTTTGTAAAATAGTCCAAAACATGAAAATGTGAACACATGAATTTTGATATTTTGGCTAAACCATGTTTTGAAACTTTACAAAATGATTTTATGGACTTAATGAAAGATGTGTATGATGATTGTTAAGTCCATAACCCATAAAAACAATATTTTCACAAAATTGCATATTCTACGCAATATATTCTTAAACACAATAGAGTATGAAACATATGATTATATATACACAATAATAAATATGAAATATGTAATCTCATATTTATAAACATGAAAACTCAAAACATGTATGTATATATATAACTATATATATACATAGAAACTAATCATGTACGTATATATGAAACTATATATACATGGAAACCAATATAATGTGTGTGTATAATATTGAGCTTAAAGTACTAAAACACATAATATAGAACATAAACTAATGTTACCCAAGCTTGATCTTGATCTTCATTGTAGCTCAACTTGGTAAACTTGAATGAAGCTTGTAATTGGATCTTTAACTTGAATTGTATAAGCTTCAACCACTGTTCCACCAACCTCCATTGGATATCATCGTTAAAGCGTAATTCCATCCATCATCCAACACGTTGTTTGTCTATAATAAATAAGAAAATACAAATACTAGACAAACAACATTAGTGGTAAATTGTTTGTTAAATATCATCAAAACAAAGAGGCCAACATCTTATACCTTTAACCTCTTCAAATCCTCCCTCGACTCTCGACCCGCCCCCTCCCTCTACAACCTCCTCATCTCCGCCTTCGCCAAACACAACTAACACCAACATGCTCTACAATGATACAATCCCATGATCCAAGATCGGGTCAAGCCCGATGTGTACACTTTTAACATCCTCATTGGTAGCTCGAATCGTTTTCGATGGCGACTTTGCGAGATTTTGATCAATGGACTTTATAGAGAAGGGAGATCTATAGAAATGTTCGAGCTTTGATGGGTTTTTTAGCGAAAGGAGCGGCACCTGATGGGTTCGATTGCTTCGTGTTAGTCAGAGCTTTATGCAACTACGGGAATGAGGATAGAGCTGTTTGTGACTTGTAGTTCATTAATGGAGAGCTTGAGGAAATGTGGGAAGATAGATGAAGCTATTAGGTTTATGGAGAGAGTGATGGAGAAGGGGATGGTTTTGGGTGGGATTAGTTGCAATTGCTTGTCACTAGAAGCCACGTTGGCAACCATATTTACATCACGTGGGGCGTTACGTGAAAAATTTCGTCAGAAATTTGGGTCCGACCAAATTTGAGACCCATTTGTCGCCGGAGAAAAAATAATATACCAATATATCGCTAGAGAAAAAATAATATGTCAATATGTCGTCGGGAAAAAAATTATACCAAACTATTGTTAGACCCTAGAAGGGGGGGTGATTAGGGTCTTATGCTAATCTAATCCCGATTAAATTCCAATTAAAATTATGTTGATCAATTTGTTCTAGCAAGAGATAGATATGAATAAGAACGATAAGAAAAAGCACAAATAAAAATATATGCTAAGCAAGCACAAACACAAGATATGTTTACGAGGTTCG